TAGATAGGATAGATAGGATAGATAGGATAGATAGGATAGATAGGAAGATAGATAGATAGATAGATAGATCGATCGATCGATAGATAGATAGGATAGATAGGATAGATAGGATAGATAGGATAGATAGGATAGATAGGATAGATAGGATAGATAGGATAGGATAGGATAGATAGGATAGATAGGATAGGATAGGATAGATAGGATAGATAGGATAGATAGGATAGGATCGGATAGGATAGGATAGGATAGGAAAGGATAGGATAGGATAGCTAGATGGAAAGATAGATAGATAGATAGATAGAAAGATAGATAGATAGAAAGGATAGATAGGATAAATAGATAGGACAGAACAGACAGGACAGATAGGACTGATAGGACAGATAGGACAGATAGGATAGATAGGATAGGTAGGACAGATAGGACAGCTAGGACAGATAGGACAGATCGGACAGATCGGACAGATAGGACAGATAGGACAGATAGGACAGATAGGACAGATAGGACAGATAGGACAGAAAGGACAGGTAGGACAGGTAGGACAGGTAGGACAGGTAGGACAGGTAGGACAGATAGGACAGATAGATAAGATAGATAAGATAGATAAGATAGATAAGATAGATAAGATAGATACGATAGATAGGATAGATAGGATAGATAGGACAGATAGGACAGATAGGACAGATAGGAGAGATAGGATAGATAGGATAGGATAGGAAAGGAGAGGATAGGATAGCTAGATGGAAAGATAGATAGATAGATAGATAGAAAGGATAGATAGGATAGATAGGACAGAACAGATAGGACAGATAGGATAGACATGATAGACAGGAAAGATAGGAAAGATAGGATAGATAGGATAGATAGGATAGATAGGATGGATAGGAAAGATAGGACAGATAGGATAGATAGGATAGATAGGATAGATAGGATAGATAGGATAGATAGGATAGATAGGATAGGATAGGATAGGATAGATAGGATAGATAGGATAGATAGGATAGGATCGGATAGGATAGGATAGGTTAGGAAAGGATAGGATAGCTAGATGGAAAGATAGATAGATAGATAGATAGATAGAAAGATAGATAGATAGATAGAAAGGATAGATAGGATAGATAGGATAGATAGGACAGAACAGATAGGACAGATAGGACAGATAGGACAGATAGGATAGATAGGATAGATAGGATAGGATAGGATAGGATAGGATAGGTAGGACAGATGGGACAGATAGGACAGATAGGACAGATCGGACAAATCGGATAGATAGGATAGATAGGATAGATAGGATAGATAGGATAGATAGGATAGATAGGAAAGATAGGATAGATAGGATAGATAGGGATAGATAGGATAGATAGGATAGATGGGATAGATAGGATAGATAGGATAGATAGGATAGATAGGATAGATAGGATAGATAGGATAGATAGGATAGATAGGATAGATAGGGTAGATAGGGTAGATAGGATAGATAGGATAGATAGGATAGATAGATAGGATAGACAGACAGGATAGACAGATAGGATAGACAGATAGGATAGATAGATAGATATATAGATAGAAAGATAGATAGATAAATAGATAGGTAGGGTAGGATAGGATAGGAGGATAGGATGGGATAGGATAGGATAGGATAAGATAGGATAGGGAGATAGATAGATAGATAGATAGATAGATAGGTAGGTAGATAGATAGATAGATAGATAGGATAGATAGGATAGATAGGATAGATAGGATAGATAGGATAGATGGGATAGATAGGATAGATAGGATAGATAGGATAGATAGGATAGATAGGATAGATAGGATAGATAGGATAGATAGGATAGGATAGGATAGGATAGAAAGGATAGATAGGATAGATAGGATAGATAGGAGAGAAAGGAGGGATAGGATAGATAGGATAGATAGGATAGATAGGATAGATAGGATAGATAGGATAGATAGGATAGATAGGATAGATAGGACAGATAGGACAGATAGGATAGATAGGATAGATAGGGTAGATAGGATAGATAGGATAGATAGGATAGATAGGATAGGATAGGAAAGGAGAGGATAGGATAGCTAGATGGAAAGATAGATAGATAGATAGATAGATAGATAGAAAGGATAGATAGGATAGATAGGACAGAACAGATAGGACAGATAGGATAGACATGATAGACAGGAAAGATAGGAAAGATAGGATAGATAGGATAGATAGGATGGATAGGAAAGATAGGACAGATAGGATAGATAGGATAGATAGGATAGATAGGATAGCTAGGATAGCTAGGATAGCTAG